GTGTGAGGTGGTGGTAGTGGTGATGGTGGTAGCAGTCATGATGGTGGTAATGGTGGTACTGGTGATATTGATCCTAAGGTGAGGAGCAGGTGGTGGTGGTGACTGGGGGGGAGGGAGGGAAGAAGAAGGGAGGGAGGGAAGAAGAAGGAAAAAGAAGAGGAAGAAGAAAGACATGGAAGAGAAGAGGAGAAAGGAAGAGAAAGAATAGGAGGAGGAGAAGAAAAGTGTGTGTGTGTAATAATAATAATAATAAACGGTTTATTAATAGAGTTGCAGTCGGTGGCTGAAAATATACAGACTTACATTTGATTTAGACATAATGATATAATATGCATTGAATACATTTACAGGGCTGTACAGTACATAAATCAGGAGTTGTTTATTATTTTAAAAGTAGATGGGATGGTGCTGTTCTTATATCTATCGGTGCGGGCTCTTATGGGCTGTATTTTGTTGTAGTGGCGGACTGCGCGAGGTGAGCGGGGGGCTGCAGGTGGCAGGAGGTGGCGATGACGAGAGTGGTGCAGTAGTCCACGGCCAAACCTTTCCAGTGCTTGGTGGTGGAGATCACTGAGGGATGGCATTTCCAGGGTGGAGAGAGCGTTGGTGTAGCCGGAGTATTCTGCGCCGAGCATGATTCTGCAGGCCCTTTTCTGTACCTTCTCTCGCTGACGTTGTTGGGTGGAGTTGAGAGAAGACGACCAGGCTGGTGACGCATACGTTAGTTTGGGGAGAATAAAGGCGTTGTAGATGGTCCTCAGCTCTGTGTGTGTGTGTGTGTGTGTGTGTGTGTGGCGGATAGGGTTAATAGACACATAAAGAGGAATGAGACACGAGGATATAGATAAAGAGGGGCGAGAGAGGGAAGGAAGGAAGGAAGAAGGGAGAGGAGAATGACAGTACCAATGTCATAGTGTGGTGAGATGAGGGGAGGTGAGGGGAAATGTGGTGAAGTGAGGGGAACTGTGGTTAAATAAAGCAAGGAACTGAGGAAATTTAGTCAAATAATAATAATAATGGACGAAGGTAAGATAATAGAAACAGGGAGGAGAGGAAACGAGAGAACAGCACTTACTGGTTAGAAGTAAATACCAGGAGAAATTAGCCATTAGCAATTTTAGCACAGAGTGTCGAATACGTACACACACACACACACACACACCGTCGTACAAACAAAAACGATAGTTTAATGGAAGCTCGACCTGACGGCTTATTAATGCTTACTGTGTTTTGCGATGTGGAGTGGTCAGGTTGTGGTGTGTGGGAGGCGGTGTGGTGTGTATGGGAGGTGAGTGTTGTGTGTAGGAGGCAGGTGTTGTGTGTGGGAGGCAGGTGTGGTGTGTGGGCGGCAGAAGAGAGTGTGTGGAGGTGTGTTGTGGGCGGCAGGAGAGTGTGGGCGGCAGGTGTGCGAGGGACCTGGAGATGTCACGCCCAAAGCTCATTACTGATACACAAGTGACCTTTTGCCGTCGTGGAGGGAACTGCGTCGCGGGATGTGGGAGATGGTTGTCAGACGCACATCAACACAAAACACACACACACACACACACACACACACAACACAACAAACACACACACACACACACACACACACACACACACACACACACACACACACACACACACACACACACACACTCATTTCTGACATGAGTAGAAGACATTATGCCATGATGTATTTTATTTTTTTACAAGGCTTAAGTTAATTATATGAGTAATCAATGTATATGAGTTAGAATCGTGGAATTATGGTCACCAAAATGATTTCAATTTATATAAACATAATCGTGTTGTTCATCATCACCACCACCGCTAAAACCTAACCTAACCTAAACCTAACCTAACCTAAACCTAACCTAAACCTAAACCAAACCTAAACCTAACCTAAACCTAACCTAACCTAACCTAACCTAACCTAAACCTAACCTAAACCTAACCTGGACCTAACCTAACCTAAACCTAACCTAACCTAACCACCACTGCTAAAACCTCCCTCATTAGTAAACTCACAGTATAATGTTAATCGTTTGAGGTAGCCATTTGGAGCACTAACCTGAGACTGGCTATGGTATTTGTCTCTAACTTTGTAGTGTTCATATTTAGAGTTAGTGCCACTATCTACTTCACTGGTGCCAGAATTAGTGCCACTAACCTACAGTATACATACCATCAAGGACTCCATCATTAATCGTCATATTCCGACCTTTGATCAACGCAGCTCACCTCCAGGTCTTTTAATCTCCTCCCCCCCTCTCCCTTCTCTCTCCCTCCCTTCCTCCCTTCTCCCTTCCTTCTCCCTCCCTCCCTCTCTCCCTCCCTTCCTCCCTTCTCCCTCCCTCCCTTCCTTCTCCCTCCTCCTTTTCTCTCCCCTATCACCATTAATCATCCCTACGTCTTTTTTATCTATATTTTTTCTTCAAATTCTTTTCCTTCCTTATTTCTTTCTCTCATCTACCTTATGTTCACTCGTCTTTCTCCTCTTCCTTTCTTTTCTCCATTTTTCATTCCATTGTTCCCATCTTTTTATTTTATCCTCCCTTTCTTTTCCCTACCCCTCCCCCACGCCCACGCCCGCTCTCTCTATGATATATCCTTTCCTACCCACTAAGGATTACCTCCCCCTGTCCCAGCTATCTCTCCCCTCGTTCCTTCTTCTCTCCCTCCCCTCCCTTCATCTTCCCTCTCCCTCTTTCTTCCCTCCCTCCTCCCCTCCCTTCCATTATCCTTTTGAATCTTGTACTCTTTCTTTCTCTAATCCTCGTTTCCTTTCTTCGTCTTTCTCTCCCTTCTCTCCATTTTCACCAGTGTCGAGTTTCCCTCTCTCTCTCTCTCTTTCTGTCGTCTTCCTTTGACTCTTGACTCTTTTTCATCCGTCTCCTTCTCCTCCTCCTCCTTCTTGGTGTCTTTCTTCCAACTTCCTGTTCTTTCTCTCCACATCTTTCACCTCTATCGACCTCTCTCTCTCTCTCTCTCTCTCTCTCTCTCTCTCTCTCTCTCTCTCTCTCTCTCTCTCTCTCTCTCTCTCTCTTCACTACTTTGTTGACAACGTTGCTTTATTTCGTTGTTTGCCAAGTCGTTCATTGAAACGTGAGACCCAAGGCTGTGCCGTAGAGACGACCTCCCAGCTGGTGTGAGAGGTTGTGTCGTCGTCCCAGCTGGTGTGAGAGGTTGTGTCGTCGTCCCAGCTGGTGTGAGAGGTTGTGTCGTCGTCCCAGCTGGTGTGAGAGGTTGTGTCGTCGTCCCAGCTGGTGTGAGAGGTTGTGTCGTCGTCCCAGCTGGTGTGGAGAGGTTGTGTCGTCGTCCCAGCTGGTGTGAGAGGTTGTGTCGTCGTCCCAGCTGGTGTGAGAGGTTGTGTCGTCGTCCCAGCTGGTGTGAGAGGTTGTGTCGTCGTCCCAGCTGGTGTGAGAGGTTGTGTCGTTGTCCCAGCTGGTGTTGGCTGTGGTGGTGGGTGGCAGTGCGACACCCTAGCTGGCTGCTAATTAATACCTGCGGCCTCCAATTATCTCCCGGCAGGTTAAGTTAATACCTGAGGGACCCCAATTAACACCTGGTGTCGGGTATACGCCTGTTAGGTACACCAATTATCACCAGGCGGGTGTGATTTAGCGTCGAGGGATCCCAATTATCACCAGATGTTTGAAGAAAATACCTGTACCCCATTTATCACCGGGTGTGCTAGACGAAATACCTGTACCAATTATCACCAGGTGTTTAAGTGGAAGTAACAGGGGGACATTCAGTAGAGTTAGTGCCATGACGGTGCCTGCATGGTCTTGTGTTATTAACCCCCTAGGTGCCCCACGTGTGCCATTAAGTGCCAGCCAGGTGATGTGGGGAGGAGACGGCACCTGTGATAGGGAGCGAGGAAGAAGCTCTTATTGTTAGTAGTGATGATTATGGATCTATCTCTGTTGGTTGATGGTCGCGCTATATTGACTACTAGTTTGAGGAGGACATGTACTGTGGTGGTGGTGGTGGTGACGAAAAGCCTGACGTATCAATATATTCACACACACACACACACACACACACACACACACACACACACACACACACACATTATACTTATTTATATCACAACAAAAAACTATGTATGTTAACTCATGCTTGTTAAGGGTAGTAAGCACTTCTTTAACGAGGTTATAATGAACGAAGGGTGGTTGGGGGTAGGGTAGTAGTTGAAGGGATAGTAGGAGAAGGGGTAGAATGGGCGTTGGCTTGTATGGGACAGGTGGGGGTGGTGAGGGGAGGTATTGGTTTTGGTCAGGGAGGAGTTTAGTAACAAGGTATTGAAATGTCTCTTCAGTATCTTTGTGTTGTGTGAGGCGTTCAGTGGGTCAGGTGTTAGTGGTTGTGGTAGTAAGTACGTAGTTGGTGGTGATGATAGGTGTGGGTGATGATGGTAGTGGTGGTAGTGGTGGTGATGGTGGACACACGTCAACAGGTGGGCAGCAGACAGGAGAGGATCATAGGGGTAATTTATATCTTGGTTTATTGGTAAATTTGGGTCCGGTGTGTGTGTGTGTGTGTGTGTGTGTGTGTGTGTGTGTGTGTGTGTGTGTGTGTGTGTGTACAGGAGCCATGGTGTATGGATAGGACAACTTGTGTCTCGTTGTCATGGTAACTACTGAAGGAGTTGGACAGGACGGACGCTAATCAGGTTTTAAGGTATTAATAAGTGAAGTATAATACCCTGTACTGATGTGAGCAATAAGAGCCGTGTACTGAGTCGTCCAGCCACTTAAGTGTAGGAGGTAAAGTGACAAGTGTGGACCCGTCTGCCAGTATGTGCTTCACCTGTTGGAGGGGTCACTTAATCGACGTGGCTTGTCATTGTCTTGCCCGTGTGAAGTAGTGATGTGTTGACAGACTATATCATGAAAGTATTTGTGATTAATAGTTGTGTTATTGATGGTGGTAATGATAATAATTGATGTTTGTTTACGAGAATTGAGTTACGATTACCACTGATGTTTACCGCCCCCTTCTGTTGTGTGCAGGATCAGTGTGAGTATATGTATCTCTAGTGTGATGTAGAGTATGTTGGTGAGGATCTCGTGAGTGAACACCAGTGACTAGGCAGTGTGATGGTGAGTGTGTGGTGAGCCCAGGCTGGGGGGGCGGCACCCAGGACAGTGCCACCCACAGTGCCACCCACACAGAGTGCCCCCGCCGCCCCTTCCTGCCCCCGCCGCTATGCCTGGACACCCTATGCCCCCGTCGCCGCCCCTCCTCCCCGCCCCAGCCGCCACCCCATAACAGCCACATGCTGGCGGGTAGCGTGGAGGCGGTGCTGGGGGGCATGCGCCGCTACACAGACCTCCGCCGCTACTCTGAATCTGTGTTGCAGGGATGTCGTCACTTCGCTACCGAGTGTGCCGTAAGTACCTCTCCCTCCCTCTCTCACCCTTCTCCCTCCCTCTCTCACCCTTCTCCCTCCCTCTCTTACCCTTATCCATCCCTCTCTCACCCTTCTCCATCCCTCTCTCACCCTTCTCCTTCCCTCCTCTTCTCCCTCTTCTTGTGATGTATATTCACCTCACCTCCTTCATCTTCACCCAGTACATCACCCCTACCACCCTACCCCCACCCCCACCACCCACCCACCGCCTACCACCACCCACCTACCACCACAATTCTCTCACAGGAAACTCTTTTTTTCATCAGCTTATTGTCCTGTTCTAGGCCCGTGTATGCCCAGAGGCTTCCCGCGTTTTATTAGACCTGGTGGAAGTCTCGTGTTGTCTTATGTGGCTCTCCAGGGAGTGTTGTGAGGAGTGGAGAAATAGTTTGGCAGGATTGGAAGGTTAAAACCATCTCTATGAAAGGGTTAAACCACCATTCTCAGAGGGTTAAACCATTCTCAGAGGGTTAAACCATTCTCAGAGGGTTAAATCATCATTCTCAATGGGTTCAACCATCATTCACAAAGGTTTAAACCATCATGCCCAAAAGGTTAAACCATCATTCTCAAAGGGTTAAACCATAATTATCAAAGGGTTAAAATCTCCACCTCAAAGGGTTGAACCATCGTCATTAACGTGCTCAACCATCGTGTTCAAAGGGCTAAACCATCATCCTCTTAAGGTTAAATCATCGTTCTCAAAGGGCTAGTATGTACGACGACACACACACACACACACACACACACACACACACAAGCTTCTCACCATCACTATCGTCCTGTTGTCAGCCTCGATTGCCTTTGAAAATATTATTGATAGATGAAGTGTACCAACCAGCTTTAGGTCTCTGCAGCAGCCAGCCTTAGGGGGTACAGCAGCCAGCTTTAGGAGGTACAGCAGCCAGCCTTAGGGGGTACAGCAGCCAGCTTTAGGGGTACAGCAGCCAGCTTTAGGGGTACAACAAAGCTTTAGGGGTGCAGCCAGCTTTAGGGGTACAGCAGCCAGCTTTAGGGGGTACAACAGCCAGCTTGCAGGGTACAGCAGCCAGCTTTAGGGGTACAGCAGCCAGCTTTAGGAAATTGGCAGCCAGCTTTAGGTCCAGCCTTGTTGTTTTTCCCCTGAGGTGATTATACTCAAAGTGGTAAATGGTTTTAACCCATTAATCGGCGACTTTGTGATATGGACGACCCCGTGTGAGCTTTTAGTCTGGCGAGTGTTGACCAGCCACCACTACTACCACTACTACCACTACTACCACTACTACCGTTGCTACCACTACTACCACTACTACCGTTGCTACCACTGTTACCACCACTACTACCGTTATTACCACCACTATTACCATCACTACCATCACTACGATCACTATTACCACCACCACCACCACCACTAATACCACCAATACCACTACTACCACCACCATAACTATCACCACGACCTCTACTACCACAATTATTACTACCACCACTACACGACATTGTTATAACTGTTGTCAATCACCATTACCACCACTGTCACCACCACTGTCACCACCACCACACACTACATTAAACCTTGAGAGCATATCTTCACCACTATCACCACACATTATAACCACACCACTACTGAACCACACTATCATTACCACAACACCGTACCACACCACACCATACCACACCACAACTAACCTACATAACACCACACCATACACACACCGCCACACCACCACCACACCTACACACCACCACACCACAATTATACCACACCACACCTACACACCACCACACTACACCTATACCACACCACACCTACACACCATCACACCACACCTATACCACACCACCTCAGCATCAGAAGGAAGTTCAGGTAGCCAACAAAGCGTGGTGAACCAAACAGCTTTAGTGTGGACCAGTACTTGTGTGTGTGTGTGTGTGTGTGTGTGTGTGTGTCCTTCATTTGTGGTGAACGTCAGAGAAGAAAAACTGAGATGAGAGTGAATAAAGCTTAGAGAGAGAGAGTGTCCCCTCCCCCATTCCCTCACAGATACTAACTTGGTATTGACAAGAGATAAGAAAGAACGGCCGATGACCGTCTATCTAACATCCAGTCTGGAAGCCCCTCCCCACCCTGCAACCCGGCTTTGTGGCTTAAAGGTTAGGTTGGGTCAGGTGTTCTGTAGTGGTTCGGTGGTTCGTTCTAGTGGTTCGGTGGTTCGCTGTTGTGGTTCTCAGTTCCTTGCTATGGGATAAGCTTAAAAGAGCTGGGGATATGTGAATTCAAGCTGATACACAGTGATTATGCTCTTTTTCAATGTGATACCATCTAACACCACTGGAAAAGTCGGTCATGTCAACACCTCACATAACAAGCAAAATCGGTCGTATCCACCTCCACACCAAAAACTCGGTTCATCACCACCTCACCACTAGCAAAATCTGGGTCATGTCAACACCTCACACCACTAGAAAACTCGGTCATGTCACCACCTCACTTAAAACCAAATCGGTCATGTCAACACCTCACACCACTAGAAAACTCGGTCATGTCACCACCTCACACCACTAGCAAAATCGATCATATCAACACCTCACACCACTAGAAAACTCAGTCATGTCTAAGTTTATTCGGTGTCCCTAAGTTTGGACATCTTCCGAACGTGTTGTCGGCTGTGTCCACAACGACCTTGGGTATTTTCAAGAGTTATACACGCTGTGATACACGTTCCTCCACCTTCAGTATTTGTCAGGGATTCCTTGACAAAGTGGTAGGTGTTGGAAAGGTCATTGGGGGTTGGTGGTGGGCGTCAATAAGGGATGTGGGTGAGGGCGTGCGAGTTGTAACCTCTCCATCGATCACAAGAGGAGGCAAGTGGTGTGGGGTGACACTACTGCTTGAGCGTCTCTGTCCTCTCTATAATCCCTCCTCCCCCCCCCTTGCAGTGTTTAACTCCTTCAGGTTCCTCTCTCTCTCTCTCTCCCTCCTACTTTCTCTCTTCCTCATCCTCACCCACCAGGTCCTCTCTCCTGTCTTCATATTGTGGAAGGGCGTCGTATAGTGTTGGATCCTCTTCAGCGCCTTGTGCTGCTACTCTTCACCTCTCTACCAGCTGTTGAGTGCCTCTCTCTCTCTCTCTCTCTCTCTCTCTCTCTCTCTCTCTCTCTCTCTACAGATTTAAGTCACGATAATCTCACTTGTTCCTCCTTCCTCTCTCTTTTTCTCTTCCGGTTGTGGGTTTACCTCACTATCCCCTCTCCTCCTTCCTCCTCCCCTCCCTCCTCCCTCCTCCCTCCCTCCCTTATAGTAGTCTCTCACCTGTAGGGTTACTTTCACTCGCCCACCTGTTGCCCCCAAAAAAAGAATAAAATCTCTCCTTTGAAGATTTTCTCCCACCATTTTAATTTTCCCCCACCTTGTTGGACTCTCCCGGCCCCACTCTCCCACCGGTCCCACTCTCCCACCGGTCCCACTCTCCCACTGGTCCCACTCTCCCACCACTCTTGCCCTCTCAGGACCATCTACAGGCCACATGTCACCTGTAGGCGGTAACCTGGACCAATTTTCACTGATCTTGGTGTGGCAAAGGTCGTTGTAGGTGAAGACTGTGTAGAAACATGAGGTTACCTGAACATTAACCACCTAAACCTAACCTAATCTAACCTACCCTAACCTTATCTAACCACCCTAACGCTAACCTAACCTAACCATTGGAGTAGATACTATGGAATGTTGTCTTCATTTTTACACACACACACACACACACACACACACACATACACACACACATACTCACACACACACACACACACACACACACACTTTACCGATTTAAACAAGGGTGAAAAAAATAAAAAGACTGATCGCTGTTTTATGAATTTATTCTAAAAATAAACACAGCTCCGTGTATTGAATGTTGTTTATTTGTGTTTATTTTGTAATGTTATTTTGTTTAGTTTATTTATTTTTTTATTTTCTTATTTTTATTTTTTTATTATTTTTTTTTTATTTTATTTATTTATTTATTTTTGTTATTTATTGTTGTTTTTATTTTTGTTATAACTTTGTATTCTGTAAGTGTTTCAGTAAAAGTCTTGATGTAACAGGTTTTGTAGATAGATAGATAGATAGATAGATAGATAGATAGATAGATAGATAGATAGATAGATAGATAATTTGTACTGTGGTCAACTTTTTCCGGGAACTTATTTATCTATTTCCATTTATCATACAGGAATAAATAGTAAAAAATAGGACCTAGTATTTTATATTGTGTTTTAGTAACTCGTGTATATATATATTTCGTAGGTGTATGTATGTATGTATGTATGTATGTATGTATGTATGTATGATGTATGTATGGATGTATGTATGTATGTATGGTCGATATTTTTGTAGGGTGACTTAAAGATGATGTTATTAACCATTTAGTACAGAGACAGACAGAGACAGACAGACAGAGACAGACAGACAGACAGAGACAGACAGACAGACAGACAGACAGACAGGGGATTTTTTATTTTACAATATTTAAAAAATATATTATAAATTATAAATGTATTTTTTTTGTTTAATATGATCAAGAATACTCGTAAAATAAACTCGTTGTTACCTATTATTTATTTATTTATTTTTATTTTTTACGTGTCTAGTTCACAGGTGTGGTTTGCTCCTGACCCCCCCCCTCCTCCCTTCCCCCCGTGAGGTCAGAGGTCAATGGGAGGTTGACCTTTAACACGGTCTGAATTATGTAACGTTGTCGCCTGGGTGGTCGGTGGTTACCTGGTCAAGTGTTTTTTTTCCTTTTTTTCCCCTGAGTTTATTTCCTTGGACAGGTAGTTTGGTTAATTATGTTGGTCAGTGACAGGTAAGACAGGTGATACCATTATTAATTGCATATAACTCTACGGTACTTCTAACTCCACATTTGCTTTTACTCTTTTGGTCTTACTAATTATTTGGGTGTGTGTGTGTGTGTCTGTGTGTGTGTGTGTCTGTGTGT